GGGCCTGCCGACTTAAAGGCATCCAGTTCTTCCAAGTGACTCTGCACCATCTCAGGGTCTACGCATGGTAGTCTGGCACCTTGCTGCTGCCTCTCTACAACCCCAGTGAGAGACTTGTTGTGCCCCTCTCCTAGGAACAGTGAGGCAAAGAACTCGTTGAGGAGTTCAGCCTTGTCCCCCCTGTCCATCACCAATTGCTTCTGCCCATTTAGTAGGGGTCCTATTCCACCCTGGGCCTTCCTTTTACTCCCTATATATCTAAAGAACAATTTCTTGTTGTCCTTTACTTGGGATGCCATCCTCAGCTCCATGGTAGCTTTGGCTCGTCTTACTGCCTCCCTACAAGCATGAACAGAGGAGGTATATTCGTCTTTGGTGATCTCTCCCTGTTTCCACTTTTTATGTGCTCCCCTTTTGGCCCTTAGGCTGCCCTGGATTTCTACCTAGGAATTGCCACCTAGGAATTGGCTCTACTGAGGCATAAGGTGCCTGCTTTATTTGGACGAGAAATTCCATTCTGGACCCAAAAAGCCTTTCCCCAGCAAAAAGTTCTCTGAAACTGGGCCATCTCTACAAAAAGGTTCAGTTTTCTACACACCAACATTTACAATTGAATTTTACCCAAATATTCAAATTTCTAGCTCACTCAAATGTAAAGACAACGGGAAACATTTCAAATGTAACTATCCTTATACAAATTAAGGAATTTTTTTTTTTTTTTATTGTAAACTCTGTGCAAGCAAAATTTCTAATCACTCCAAACAAACAAAATGAATCACAGACTTCACTTCAGGTGCTTTCAGAACAGTTTTGATCTCCTCATCCAGACTGCAGAATCAAATTATGCTTCTTTACTAGTCTCACAGATATACATCACATTTTTTAGTATAACCAACCCCCCCACCCCAATTCACCAAGTAAAAATAGTTAAAAAAACCAAGTCAACTGAGCTATGCAACCAAGAGCATCCCACAGTAGGCTTCTGCTTCCTCTATTCCAAATGTTACCATCTACCAACTTCAATATAAGTTTAGGAAAAGAAACTGAATTTCTTTAAAATAAAAATATAAACGCTGCTTTAAACGCTGCGGTGGAAACACAAAAGCTGCTGCGCAGAATAGATCGTAGGCTCATGCAATGCATCCAATATTTTCCGTTTCCTTAAGCAGACTCTACCTAGTGTTTCAGAGGAAAGTAAAATCCTCAGTGCACCAGGGCAATTCTGCAACATTAAGTCAGAGAACTGGCTATGCACTCTTCTCAGCATATGAATCTAGGAATAAAAATGACACCCAGCTTCATTTTTTTTGACCCCCACATCAGCAGCCATGGACCCCACAGTACAACCGCACAAAAGGAATAAGTCATTCTTCTTTTTTTTTCCCCCCATCTAAAATGTACAGCCATTAAATTATCTAGTGTAACAACAAGCCTAACTCATATACAGAAGGGAAGAAAAGGCTGCTGCTGCCTGACACCGGTTCAACTGGAGCCAACAACCTGAAATTAGACCACAGAGCAGTGATCCTCAACCAGAGAACCCTGGCACTGAGATCCTTTCAAGAGTGCCGCGGGGTGTGACAGACTTTGGGCTGTTAGGAGGTGCACAAACAATTCATAAATTAAGGACTGCAAACAGGAACCCACAGCAATAAGCCTGCTGTGACCTGGGCAGCCTTTCCCAGGTCTGTGCAAGAAAGAAGCGCTCTAGTATTTTGCAGCAGTCAGGAGAAGAGTGAAAACTAAAAGCTGACATTTTCAGAGGGCACCTCAGGCCTGTCAGGGAGGTGCCTCCGATCTCAGCAGGCAGAGACTCACTGCCCCAGACCCAGGGGATGGAGCATCACCCACCCTGACCCAGCTGGCAGAGAAGAGCCTGGCTGCAGCTGTGCACAGGCAGAGGAAGAGGGCTCTCCCTCTCCACCCCAACACTGAGGTCCCGGCTCCCAGATCCCCCACCCCAGCCTGACGCCTTGAAGTCATCGCCCCGGCCCGCACCTCGCGCACGTCCTGCAGGCACTCGAGCACGGCCAGATTGTTAGCCCAGCTGTGCTTGGGGCAGAGGCGCAGCACGTCCTCGCGGCACTCCTCCTCCTCCGCCAGCTTCCAGCCGCCGCCCGACCCGCCGCCGCGGGGCCC